GTCTTCCCCTGGCTTTCAGTGGAAAATAAAGTTTGTTTCAGTGTGATTATGGTTGCTCTACTGTGCATTTGGCCTTGTGTCACTAGTGGGAAGTAAGCTTAGAGCTGTCCATTGTGTTAGGTGAAGGCTCTTTCCTTCTGGTGATCCTGTTTTGGGAACTTTTGTAAGAAATTAAAACTTGCTTATAATTAATGTGGCAGCATCCTAAGTTAGTTTTGACAATGCAGATTTTAGTTAGGTGGGAGAGAACTTCGTTTCTCTTTTTTCCATTATTACTACTTGATGTGTCTCAGGAAAACAATGTTTGCTTCTTGTCAGATACATTAGTACAAGAGGTTTCAGCTGTTTCAAGCCTTTATGTTACAGATTTGTTGGGAGAGAGGCATTGTTTTTTGGTTTTGAATGAATCCCTTGCAGTAAAGCTAAAATTACTGAGAACAGGCTACGTTTTCTTCATTGTGTTTTGTGAGTTCTTTTAGAAGAGCTTTGTGCCCTTTCCAGTTTATGGCACCAAGATTCAAAAGTGTTGTTTTGGTAACTTTCATATCTGTTTTTTATTTTTGACATCTTTAAAATAGCACCACTAGCAAAGCAAAATGTCAGTGATGTCTGATGGGAAGATACTGAGATTCTGTTGAAAAGTTCTTTTATACTCTTCTCAGTAATGTTTCACAAGTATTCTACAAAGTTTCATTACTTTTCTGTAAAAAAGAGTAACATCAAATAGCCTGCATGTATGTAATTTAATAGATGTGTCTGTATATAAGATTTATTTAGTTATCTTCTAGAATGCAATAACTTGAAGAGCTAAAGCCATTTTTTTGCCTCTGAAATGTAAAAGCAGATGAAACCATTAACCACTGCAATGCTTAGCAAAACAATTTGTGAAGTCAATAAACCACCTTTAAATGCCTGTAGCCTCCCTATGTAAATCAGAAAATTTTGCATCAAGTACGTTTTTCATGTTTACCTTATACCAGTTAGTGAAAACTTGGAAAAAGAGCAGGAAACCAAGTGGAGAGCAAAAAAGCAGGGGAGTCTGTTTCTCAGAAAGTGGTGACTTGCTGTTTCAGGTCACTGTGTAAATGGAGGCCTTAGAACAAATCTGTTCTGTTCACTGGCTGTGAGTACTGCATATTAAAATACATCATTTAATTTTCAATACTAAAAGAATTAGAATGCATGTGGTCGTCTCTTTTAGCCAGTATATCATAAAGTTAGTTTTATAAACATTTTAAGATGCTGATTTTGTTCCTTCCATATCAGATTCCTGTTTCTGTCCAGAAAATAGCACAACAGAGAAGATGAGTTGAAATAAATAGAAAATTAGAAATAGTTATGGCCAATTTTCACATGATATTTGAAAAAAGGTTTTTGCATGTACAGTTGCATAAAGGAAGTGATGTAATTCCTTAAGTATTTGCATAGTTATTCTTCTGATTAGTAAAGAAAGTTTTTACACTGTGTTTGGTAATAAATCTGTGTACTTGAAAGCCAGCAGGTTTTGTAGTTGCCAACCTATGAAAATCAACATTTCTTCAGGAAAACAGTGAAAGTACTAATGCAATACAGCATTAAAAGCTTTCACATACAGTTCACAAACTAAAATTAGCAGTTTCAAATGACAGTGATTTTAAATCAGTCTGCATAAAGTCAATTAACCAAATGTTGAAGTTCTTCAAGGTTTTACACAGTTGTTGCTGTCTTGTCATACTGTTGTGCATCAAAATAGAAATTGGCTCCATGTCTTGACCTCTTGCTTTGCTCTTCCCCGCCTGATTTCTCTCCTCAAAATAGCAATACTGAGGTGAAATAATCTCTCTGGGGAAAGTGGAAGACTCTAGGCCATATTATATTGCAGAGTGATGGAGAAGCAGCCATGTATGCTAACAACTAAAACCCATCTGGGTTTTTTACTCTGGCCCTGAAGCCAGCTGGCACTGCGTGAAATTCTCTGACCTTCCAAACCAGAATGGACACGTCCTAACTGCCCCCTGGGTCCCAGGTCCACGCTGACTCCTGGAACGTGCTTGGAAGCAGCCTGGAGGAGGGCTAGGTGGCCTGGGTCAGTGCTGCTCTCAATGGGGAGATGGTGGAGTCCTTCGGCACCGCTTCCCTTAGGAGGACCGGCTTGGCCTCAGTATAGGAGGGCCTGATAACTTGCCGAGTGGGAAGCCAGGGGAGGAATGAATGCTGCTGCTGCTGCCTAAAGTCACTGCCTGTCTTCTGTGTCTCTGGGTCACCTGTTCAGATGTCAATTGATATAGCTGCAGAATAATGTCTCCCTCACAAAAAAAGTTGAATTGATTTCTTAGAACACCTTGTAAAATAGCGAGGTAGTTGCTATCTCGAGTAAAGGTTATACAGAGGAGATCTGGAGGGGTTTGTTGCCTTAGACCTTACGCTCCAAACTAGCGGTATAGTGAGGATCAAGGCCTGAGAATAAAGGAAAAAAAGGCTAGAATACTAAACATGCCTTTCAGTGCAGAATCCATGAGAAACAGAGAACTGATAAGCATTTTAACAGGTACAAAAGTTTATTACAAGCTAACTGTGTTAGCTGAAATGTGTAAAAAAAATCCGGAATGTCCAAGATTTAAGGACGGAGATATAGCCAGTCTAATAAAAATAAATCTAATCTGATCCAATCAAGTAAAAACTGTGTGTAGGAGGTTTCAATTCAGTTGGATTTGTAGAGGTGCTTTTAATACTGTTACACTCCCATAAGAGAAATTATTTCTTTAACTGTTTGAAAATTTGGGGTTGGTTTGGTGGTTTTTTTTTGCATTCAGTTATATGCAAACCTGCCTCTTACATTATCGGTGAAACAATTTAATCTTCTAAAGCTTTTGCTGAGCTTATTTTAGTGAAATTTCACAAACTTTTCCCAAGGTATTGTGTATTTAAGTTAAAAAGTACTACCAGAATTACTGAAATACACTTTTATTATTGCCAACGTGATTTAACAGCTGGAAACAAAGAGAGTGGCACCATGAGGCTTTGAAGGCTAGTGGTTATCTTGAACCACAGTTGTTACAACTTTGTTTTAAAATGTAAGTAAGTTTATTTTCACAGTTGAAAGAATTTGGATTCTGGATGGAAAGATGAACTGAGGGGAGGAAGAAACAGTTACTTTTTTTCTTACTTTAGGGTGAAAATAGTATATGAGGTTACTTCTTCATACTCAGTGTATGAAATATGTGTATATGAATACTCAGCTAAGTGTGGCAGGGCTAGCTTAAATGTTGTGTTAAGTGCATTATTAGCCACTCTTACACTCAACTGGTGTAAGAAAGTTAACTTCCTAGGTACAGATCAAAACGTAAATCAAAACAAAACAAAAACCCCAAACAAAAAAACCCCATAAAACCCAAACAAACCAAAAAAGGACACTGTCTTCACGTACTAAAGATTTGAATATCGTAAAGATATCATTGAAATGGAAAAAAGCCCATACTTAATTTGACAAGAAAAGAGAGTGAAAATAGTAAAGTAGGTTTTGCTCAATACTCCCCCCTTTTCCCAAAGTTTATCTGGTCTTGTTTAAAGCCCCCCCGAAAAAGGCATTTGCAACTGAATTTTTCTGAGCCATACGCGTGTAATCTTTTTACTGGCTTGAGTGTAAGTGGTCTCAAAACAAAGGTGGTCTACAGTTTTTCAGATTAAAAATGAAGTTTGACGGAAGTATGCAAAATATCAGCCCGCATTCGTCTCTGCATGACCCAGCACCCCACGATGTTATGTACAGGATTTTTTGTTGTGCGTTTTTGTAGCGTGATGCTCTCTTCCTATGCAGTTGTGCAGTTATCTGTGTGAATGTGTAAGCACTAAGGGCGAGATCCCTTTGCAAGCAGGATCCACTCTAATTGCTCTTCTGCCGAAAGCTGGCTCTGTCTGTGGGGCTGCGTGCGTCCTGCTCAGCAATCAGGGTTGGGGTTGTGTTCCTGGCTGGCCACCCGAGCGGCACCGGCTGCTTTCAGCTAGTTTCCTCCAAAGTGGACAGGCTGTATTCATCTATTCTGTATCGCACTTGGCTGTGAGCCACGACTGGGTCTCGTCCGCTGCTCCTCTGACCTCAGGGAATGAATTTTTCTCTGTTTCTTTTTAGCTTTGGAGTGTTTGAAACAGCCTACACGGGTGATGTTTTTATAGCGTGATATAAGATTGTATGTTGAACAGGGTGGGGATATATTCACTGAAAGTGGAAAGCCTGTTGAGAAGTCATTAACAGACTGGGTAGGACAGAGGGAGTCAGACTCAGTGCCACCTTACCCATACTGGTATTTGGGAACAGTTCCTGGAATGAAGTGTTCCCGAAACTCTGCCCAGGCTTTGTCTTCAGAAAAGCCGTTTGGAGCAGTGTAGGTGTCTGCTCTCTGGTCCTCCCCGTGTAGCGGGTTGGGTGTGCGCAGGAGGTGACTGGCAGGAACCAGTGTGCCGTTACAGGCCTACCTACCTGGTAGACTGCTGAGCCTCATCACATTCTTGCACAGCTGGTCCTGGAGCTTCACTTAGCCGGTTGTGGAGCTCCCGTGCCATCAGGTCCTCAGGCTGCTGCTGCCTGCTCAGTGAGGATATACAACACGGCACCAAAAATGTTTATCCTGATTTGAAGGGACCGTGTGGTAAATGTGCAGTTATGCAGTGATTATTTTTTTCTTTCTTTTCTTCTTTATCAGATTTGAAGGCATTTGTTATTTAGAAATTATAATGAGCCTGTACAATGCATAAAACGCATGTGGACACTGTCTGGTTCCCCTGCGGTTTCTCCAGTGCAATTGTTAATGATGTGTTTTACCATTCAGTGACTTTCCTTTCTCTTGCTTAACAGCCTTGCATGACACTTGTGTAGAAAAATACACTTCTCTTCCCTAAGAAACAGGCAAGGATATAATTTAAGTAATGTCATTTGAATTTTGACTTACTTTAAATTGCGTTTATTGTCAGATGAGTTTTTGTCTTACAAATTTGTCGTGTCTCTCCTTGAACGTCATTTTGTAGTTAATTTCCTTGCGAAAATGCAGAGAAAGCATACTAGTCTTCTGAAATCTCACAGTAATATTTTCAGATATTACCCTAAAGGATGAACCATTTCCTCCAGCTTAAATAAGCCAGCATTGCTTCAGCTTGCTTTGCAAGGCTTAACTGTATCTGCAGTTATGTAAGTTTCAGTTATGTGATATTTCATGGGCATCTATTTAAACATACAACTATTATTTTTAGTTGAAATATAGACTATATAAAGACTTAAAAGATGTGGGATCAAGGTGGACAACCTTGGCAGCAATGGCCTTTGAACCAACAGCAGTGGATGCAGTCATTTCAGCACCAGCAAGATCCGAGTAAGTATATAGAAAGCTTTGTGGATTAAATTTTTTTTTTAACCTATAGTCATTTGAATTTTTGAGTCTTTGTTACAGAGCATGACTGTTAGTTGCTTTTTTGTAGATGCTCTCAAGATAATACATTTATGATGATTTTCTGAACAACTAGAAAAAATAGAAAAAAAAGAAATAAATGAAACAATAGAACATAATTGACCACAAATCGTATGTGGGGTGACAACAATTCAAAGTGTCAAGAGAAATGCAGAAATGAATAAAGAGAGTGGAGGAGTGTATTTAATACTGGGGCAGAGTGATCAGGGACGCTGGTTTTACATTGCTTTCTGTGACTTCAATTTCCGTAACTTCACTAGAGAGATTTCCTGACTTGAGCAAAAGACATACTGATGTCCTCATCTGTGAGTGCAATTCATTTACCTACTGTTAGGGATGGTAGTAAATTAAAAAAGGAAGAGATAACTGTAACACAAAGTAGCATTCCAGAATTCAGGGGTTGTACAGAGAGTATACATTGGAAAATGTGTTTTTCTGTGTATCTTTCTTACACTTGAGTCATTAATTTAGAATTTAAGGCTATATATATTTCTTTCCGATATCAAAACTACTTCACTTACAAAACAAGTGTATTACTAGTACTCATTCAGTGCTAATGTGAACCTAAACTAATCTACCGTATGCATTTTGAACATATGCAGAGAAACTCTGCTTCAGCAAGTATGTACACTTTGATGTTTGCCTTCAGTGTGTTTTACTGTACACTGTGAATAAGTTTTAATGGTGCTCTTGGTACTTGCTGAAGGTAAACATTGCCCATTTTTCTTGAGCAATGAGACATGTAATTGAGAAACAGTGTTAAACTTCAGACTTGAGAATAGTAACCTTTTAAATTTCCTCTGCTTATTTTAGGCCAGATTGACTGGGCTGCATTAGCTCAAGCATGGATTGCTCAGCGAGAAGCCTCAGGGCAACAGAGTGTAGTGGAACAACAAGGAATGATGCCAAACGGACAGGATATTTCAGGAATAGAATCTGGTCCAAACAACCACAGTAATTTTCAGGGGGATCCCAACTTCAACAGAATGTGGCAGCCAGGTTTGTTTTCTTTCGCATTCATTCCTTTTTTTTTCATGTAATGAAAATTTACTTTTGTCAGACGTTTTTAGGTGTGGATGTGCCCGGTCTCTCGAGTTTCAAGATGCAAAACTACCAGTAGCGTCAACTAGTTAACTGGGTATCACAACTGCTACTTTCCAGTCAAGTGTTCCACAAAATGGGTAACAGTAGAGGCACAAAGGTCTGATAAGACAACGCGGTAATCTCTATATTAAATAAATAAATTGGTTTTATAATGCATATATGCAAAAGATTTGTTCTGTGCCTGAACGTTGTAGAAAGATAAAGTGTGAATTGCAGTTATATGTTTTCTTCCCTGGATCTTATTCTTACATCTTAGGTGTTTTGTTGCTTGTAGCACTGCACTAGGAACAGCAGCACTGAAGGCAACAGGATGCCTCAGAATTAAAGAGCAGGGCTCAGTGTTGGGGCCTGTTCTCTTTAACATCTTTATCAATGATCTGGATGAGGGGATCGAGTGCACCCTCAGCAAGTTTGCAGATGACACTAAATTGGGAAGTAGTGTTGATCTGCCTGAGGGTCAAGAGGCTCTACAGAGGGACCTGGACAGACTGGATCGATGGGCCAAGGCTAACTGTATGAAATTCAACAATACCAAGTGCCAGGTCCTGCACTTGGGCCACAACAACCCCCTGCAGCGTTACAGGCTTGGGGAAGTGTGGCTGGAAAGCTGCACAGCAGAGAAGGACCTGGGGGTGCTGGTTGACAGCTGATTGAACATGAGCCAGCAGTGTGCCCAAGCAGCCAAGAAAGCCAACGGAATCCTGGCATGTATCAGAAACAGTGTGGCCAGCAGGAGCAGGGAAGTGATTGTCCCCCTATACTCAGCACTGGTGAGGCCACACCTTGAGTATCGTGTCCAGTTTTGGGCCCCTCACTTCAAAAGGGACGTTGAGGTGCTGGAGCGGGTTCAGAGAAGGGCAACAAAACTAGTGAAGGGTTTAGAGAACTTGTCCTATGAGGAGCGGCTGAGGGAGCTGGGACTGTTTAGCCTGGAGAAGAGGAGGCTCAGGGGGGACCTTATCACTGTCTACAATTACCTGAAAGGAAGTTGTAGGGAGAGGGGCGTCAGTCTCTTCTCCCACGTTATGAATGACAGGACGAGAGGGAATGGCCTCAAGTTGCACCAGGGGAAATTTAGGTTAGATATCAGGAAGAATTTCTTTACAGAATTATTGGAACAGGCTGCCCAGGGAGGTGGTGGAGTCCCCATCCCTGGAGATGCTTAAAAACCGTGTGGATTTGGTGTTGAGCAACATGGTTTAGGGACCCTGACAGTTCAGGGTGAATGGTTGGGCTCAATGATCTTGAGGGTCTCTTCCAACCATATGATTCTATGATCTGTTGCCCTCTCCTGTAGTATAACACCTGCTTCTGGCATGATCTTGATATGTAGAATGAGTTGACAATGCAGCTAGCAGATGCTGGCTTCAGGTGTCTTAAAATCTTGCAAAAGGAGATGTGCAATATTCTGTGTGTAAAATATATTTTTATTATGTTTCATATACTTAGTATTTGCCCTTTTTGACTTATGTATCTAATTGTCATCCGTGTAATTTTTCAGTTATCATAAGTTAAAGTGGTTGAATGCTTCTCTTAGTATTGATTATTTTCAGTTCTTTATAATTCCTCAAAACTTTTGGTTTGGCCAAAAATTAGTTTTCTTTTTAAAACTTCATAAAATAACACTGACCATAAGCGTGGGGTAGAGATTGGGCATTTTCTGCTAAGAATTTTTCTGGAATTGTATTCTTAAAGTCCTCTGAAAAGTTTGTTATGTCACCATGCTATAATGCAGTTTGAAACGTGTGAGCAAGGTAAGTAAGCCTGCGTGCATGCCTTCTGTTGTCTTGGTGAAAACTGCATTTCGTGCTTGATTCTGTTAGTGGTTGAAAGAATAACACCTCCAATTTTCACAGTGACTATTCAAATTTATCTAAGTGCAATGTTTAATAAAGGTGGGCTTAAAATGTCATTGGCATAGCAAAAGGGAGGTGGGTGTCAGGTTTCTCTTAAGTGTAACCTACCTGCCCTGGGCTATGTGGTGTTGTAGCCACATGTAAGAAATTTAACTTTACTGTGTGGCAGTACATAGAGTGTATTTTACCTGTGTTTCTGTATAGTAAGTAGAGGGTTTCACAGGTGAGGTGAAAGAGATTAGTGCCTTAAAAGGTGGCTTTTGCAAATAGTCACAGAATAGTAAAAGTGAGAACATGTTTATAAATGTTAGGAGCCCAAGCTCACCTGGAAAATCCAGAACAAGAATACATTTAGATCTAGGAATGAGAATAATGTAGCACCTTTTGTTAAAGGGAAACAATGTACACTGCATTTTGTTATCATTGGCTATATCAATCAAAGAATATACTGTTTTCCTTTTTTTGGGGACGCTGATAAAGACCATGCTGATGCAGATATGACCCAGCTTCCCTTAATTTAGGCAATGTCATCCTTAATGAGTAGAAGTAGTCACAGCAGACAAACTAAATCACAGCATGTACAGTTAGCCAAAGTTCTCTTCACCTATTTACTGTTTCTACAAAGCTTCATCTTTATCTCCTCTCAAGTTTCTTTTTGGATCCAAAAACCTTTACACACTACTAATAAAAAAGCAAAATGGCAGTCAAAGCCAACTGCATAACTAGCAGACAATTAGTTTTGAAAGCATTCATGTTCCACAAGTGAAAACAGCGTCTCTTGTATGCGACTTGCAAGCTGTCAGGTCAGTTGACTCGAAGTAAACTGGGTTTTTAAATAGTGTCAAATTTTAACACATACATTTATGAACAGTAACTCTTGTAAGCTGTACTTAAAGGATTCTGTCCCCTAGAATACTTTAGGAGTATTGACTCTGGGAAAAAATTGGATTAATCAGCTAACCGTGACCTACCAGGATGACAGTGAGAGTGAAAGGAATGATACAATCTTTGAACATACGAAAAAAAAAACCAACAAAAACCCCACCAAGTAGAAAAGCCATATTAACCCTTTTTAATTGCTACAGTAATGGATCCAATTATCATGCAGTTGGGAACGACAGTAAAAATTAGAAAAATGGAAAGAATTATTAAAGAACTGGATGAAAGGTAGGACTGGATGGAAGGTAGGAGTTAACCTGAGAGATGAGGTATTAATTCTGTTACTGGTTAAAGTTACAAGGTACTTCTGTCACAGTCTATAAATATCTGCATAGTGGACATAATTTTTAGACCGATTTCCTAAGAAGGCAAAGCTTACAGCCGCATGAAGTATGAATTCATTCCTTAAAATCTTTTCTCTGTTAGCCAATTGTAACTTATGTTTGAGGGCTTATGACTGTAGCTTGTGCTGGCACCTCAGCTAGATATTGAAGAATCCAGGGAATCATCCTTTAGCAAGACACAAGGCTTCGGAAAGCAGGTTTCAGTGGTTCTGCTGCTCACAAAACCATTTGCTTTCCATAATAGGTCTTTATTGTACAAAGGAATGAAATAGCTCATTGCTTTGAAAATTGAAACAACATAGAAATAGAGAAGTAGGAGCGGTTCTTCAACAGTTTACACGATTTGTAAGTCCTATGGTAGACTCAATATCACTGGAAATTTATAAAAACAAATTTACACTGTTTATGTGTCAGTCCAGTTCTGCCCACCTGGTGTTTTAGTTCAGCTACAGCTATTTGTATTTCCTTCATTTGGCTGAAGAAGTTATTGAGGCAGTATAATACAGTCTGTAGATGAATAATTCGTCATAACTTTATCATCTGTATTGCTTTGAGGAACGTAAATACAAGACCATTGAATGATTGGTGACTCACATAAATTGTACTAACTTGGTATTGAATTGTATTCTAAATCCTAAACAGAATGGGGAATGCCTCACCAACCCCCTCACCCACCTCCAGATCAGCAGTGGATGACTCCAACCCCGGGTCAAATGGAAGCTGTTCCTCCATCTGAAGACAGCAACAGTCAGGACAGTGGGGAATTTGCTTCTGACAACAGGCATATATTTAACCAGAACAATCACAACTTTGGGGGACCTCCCGATAACTTTGCAATGGGGCCAGTGAACCAGTTTGACTATCAGGTGAAACATATTTGTTGCTTTAATATTGTAGACGCGCAGAGTCCCTTCCGTGGATGTGTTCCTCTAATATCATCTAGCGGCGACTTTCATTCTTCAGTTCTACAAACATCTACAGAATCTGTTATCTGCTAAGATACATTTTTACCAGATACTTTACAAAAGAGACTTTAGAGTTTTCAGTTCTGTTCAGAGGGCTGAAAGGTTTTTTTCTATACTAGTAATGAGAAATGGCTGTTGTCTGCGATATTAAAATGAATCACTGTGTTCCAGGATATAAATTAACATTATGTAGTTTTGTGTTTAAAAAAAAAAAAGAGGAGGAGGAAATTAAAATAAAATTCAGAAATATATACTTAAATACACTAGATAATGTACCACAGGGAACAGTCCTGTATTGGCAGGGAGATAGACTGGATGATCCATTGATCTTTTCCATATCAGTCTACTGTGATTCTTTGAATAAACAACGGTATTTCTAAAAAACCCACATCCATTTTTTTTTCTTCATTCCAACATATAAATTGCATAGCATAATAAATGTGTAGGTGGTTTTAGCACTAATAATAGCAGAGGGCATTACACGAATCTTAAACACAAAGAAGTTTTGGATCTTCCCCCGATTTTCAGTATTTTTCTTTGAAAACTCTTGATGTAAATGACAAACTGTACCTGTTAAAACACCTGTCCGCTGTTCATAAACACCCAAGGGAAGATGAGCAGAAATGTGTTTCTGTCTTCTGACCTACTTTTCTCTATTATTAAATTCTCTTGTTGAGCAATATTATTAGGAAGTGAACCGATAATTTTCAAATACACTAGTTTATTATAATTTCCTTTTGTTTACTATTATGGGACCAACTCTTAAAATTAATTTCTCTAAATACTACAGAAACTTGTTTTGCAGTGAATAACAGAGGGATGCTTGACCTGAAATTGTAGTGGAAGAGTACTTTTCCCAGTAGTGACTTAAATAGTCAATAGAATATAATAAAAAAAACCCAAACAGATACTACAACTTTCTTCCTAAACAGTCTCCTCTTAAATAGTTTAATTAGGCATTTCTGGCCAGCAAATATTAAAACAAAAACCCCCTCATGTATGCCTCAAGACTTGTGACTTTTGGATTGTATACAGCTTGCTCAGAACCCAGGGTCTGTACTAAACTTACATATTTATGCATTTAATATTTTAATCAGCCATAATCAGCTAAACTAATCACATTAGTGAATGATTACTGGAAAGTGCACAGTGCAAAATTCTCTTGTAATAAAAGCTTTAACTTTTCATTTTTGTCCTCATGTTATAGTCACAAGGAAAGACTGCTAACATAGCTAGATTTTTACACCTTAATTTTGTATACTCTTCATTTATCTGCATGCTCTGATGATAAGCTGGCAAGGAACTGCCGGAGATCGATGGTGATTATAGGGCTTAATGTTTGCCACAATATGAAAGGAGATTGGTTGAAGCTCTTTCAGCTTCCTTAGTATCCCTGCTTAAATCTAAGTTTACTCATTAAATATTTAAGGAAAACTTTTTTCTTGGGGACCACAGAAAAAGAGATTGAGAGATCTCAGTACCCTAGAAATCGTGGATTCCTACTTGCATGGATTTCTGTAGACCGACTTGCGCACATGCTGTGTTTAGTGTTACCACGTGAAGAAAAATAAACTGCATTACTCTTTCAGCATGGGGCTGCTTTTGGTCCACCTCAAGGTGGATTTCATCCACCTTATTGGCAGCCAGGACCACCAGGGCCACCAGGTCCACCAGCACCTCCTGCACCTCCTCAAAATCGAAGGGAAAGACCCTCATTCAGAGACCGACAGCGTTCACCTATTGCGATGCCTGTGAAGCAGGAACCTCCACAGATTGGTACATGTTAACCACTCCTTAATGAAAAAAAACAGAAAATCTGTGTTTTAAAAAGAATTGCAAATTTTATTTTATTTTTTTTAATAAATTAAAAAAGAAGAGGAGGGGAAAGTTATTATGTTTTTTTCCCCACAATAAGATGTGTGGTTTGTTTGGATTGGGGTGGAGGGTTTGCTTCTTTCGTTTTAGGTTTGCTTTTTTTTTTCATTTGGGGGGTGGGGGGAAGGTTTTTTTCATCCCACAAAACTGTAAACTTTGCTTATGTAGATGCTGTGAAGCGTAGAACTCTGCCTGCCTGGATACGTGAGGGCCTGGAAAAGATGGAACGAGAAAAACAGAAAAAATTGGAAAAAGAGAGGATGGAGCAGCAACGTTCACAAATGTCTAAAAAAGAAAAAAAGGAAAGTGAGGAAGCTGAAGAAGGGGATGGCCCACGGTTACCTCAGAAAAGTAAATTTGTAAGTAGAAGAGTTTACTTTTTGCTCAGGTTTGTATTTCCTGAAAGGTATCAACTTTTTGGTCTCTTCAAAAGAGAGACTGTGTATTTCTGGTTATCTCTTTGTTTCTGCTGCTTGAAGTAAGGTTAAGCTGCCGCTTTGTTGATGCTTCATATTTTGAAGTTGTCAGTGTCTGAGAGGTACAAGCATATCATGTGATCTGTAGTAGCAAAGAAACAATGAAATTGGGCTTTTTTCTTTTCTGTATTTTGGGAATATAAATAGTCTTCAAAGGTTTGAATTCTTTTTTGAAATAAATCAGTAGCTGAACAAATTCAAATATACCTGTATTTGCTAAACTGAGCCCATTTAGGCAGCCTTGTGTTGTCTTCACTTTAGGAGTTACGTCATTTGTTCACAGTTTGAAGTACCTGTGTGGCAGTGACCTGGCTGCTAGGTATTTCCTTATCTTGTGTAGGCAGAGAGGTACCTGCATGTTTATTAGCAGGGGAGAAAAGAGTTTTATTATAACTGTGATACAGATTTCGGTATAAAGTAGATCAAGTTGACTATCATAAATAGAAAGTAATGCGTTTGACATCTTAAGTTTTTCCTGAAATGTATGATGCTGTTCTTGTAGGACAGTGATGAGGAAGATGAAGATGCTGAAAACACAGAAGCTGTAAGCATTGGGAAAATCAGCAGGAGTCCATCCCCAGCTCCTCAAGAGGAGCAAAGTGAACCAGAAATGACAGAAGAAGAAAAGGAGTATCAAATGGTATTAATGATATAGTTCTCACTAAGTATTTCTAGTTGTTTGCTCATATGTTTCAGGCATAGCAAAGTAAAACACTTTTTCTCTGCCTGATACTGTCAATAAGAGGTATAGTACAGTAAAGCAGGGTTATATTTGCATGTCACTTTATAATGGTGTCTTTCTCATCTAGACAAGGATATAGGTTATATAACTCTTGCTGAGCACAACAGTGAAAGAATGTAATGACTGTAGTCTTCATGTTGATCCTTATTAATTCTATGGTTTTGCTTAACTTGTTAAGTTTCTGAAAACTTTTAATGATTAAATGTACCTGTCTGAAGTCTATGCTTCAGCCTCAGTTCCTGTGAAAGGGAATGTATTCTTGCGAGAAGGCACTAGAAACCTAAGTCCTAGACCAGCAACAATTTCACTATCTGCAGAAACTTTGTGCTTTGAAATCACAGTTGTATGTTAATTGTGCAACTGAAACCTTGTTAATGAAGGCCCTGAATTTTAAAAGGTTTGAGGAATTTGTAAAGCACCTGGTCAGACTGAGCAGCTGGAGAACTAGCTACCAACATTTCAATTTTTGTAGTAAATATGTAATAATAAAGTCCTATGTAAGTAAGCTCCGATGATTTTTTTTTTTTTTTTTTTTTTTTTTTTTTTTTTTTTCGGGGTTTTGGGCGGGGGCACCATTTTTTTTTCTCCCGGATTTGGGTCAGTGAGACAGCATACCGGATAGAAATGTGCTCTTTATTTTTTGAAAGAATAAATGATATCAGTATAAGTACATTTCTGATTTGCATATTCATTTGTTGTATCATCTTTGACATTAGGAATCTGTGCCCTGGATAGCCGTGTGTAATACATGTGGATACAGTTCACAGTCAAAATACAAACTGTTCTGAAAGTTCTGAAATCAAGTCAAATTTAAACAGTTTCAGGTTTATGTTTTTAAGTCGTATCTGTTGAAAGAAGTCATTGAATAAAATGTGCAGGAGAATACTTTCATAGCCATCGAAAGAAGTGAATCTCTATGGATATAATTTTAATGGAGCATTTATTCAAAAATTTTTGACTAGTAATTGTATATACAATTTTCTTCAGATGATGCTGACAAAAATGCTGCTGACAGAGATTCTCTTGGATGTTACAAACGAAGAGATTTATTACGTGGCCAAAGATGTTCACCGAAAAGCAACTAAAGGTATGCCGGTTCTTTTTTTATTATTATTTTATTTTAGTTTCTTCGGTGAATATTCTATATTTGCATGTTCTAGAACATTTAACCTCCATAGTTATCCCCCAAGAACAATTCCAGTATAATGCATCCAGTTTGGTAGAGTTCAAATCCAGTAATCATGTACTTTTGTCCTGTGCAGTGTATTGTGAGTTACTTCAGTTATTCCATTTCTTTCATAGAATTCATTTTAGTTAAAGCGGTACCTGTGTGTCAATGACTTTTGAGTTGTAGCTGTTTTTTCAATGCTGTCATCTTTATCTCAAGTTCTTAGCTGTTCAGAAGTGAAAAGAGACAAACTTTGAGTTCTCAATTAGTAATTTATTTGCTTTCACTATTAACATGTATTGTACTTACATAACATTTTTTTAACATAACTGAGTTAATCTAAATATGTAATTCCTGAAACTTGAAAATTATGTGCAGGTGCTGTAACTTGGAAAGTGATTTATATGTTTGGTTTTTTTATGTTCACTATTAATTTGCAGTTAAATTCTAAATCTTCATGGTCAGAAAAATCTAGAAGTGGTTTTAAATGGATGATGCGTTTTTAATGTTTCTTCTCTCCCTCCAAAGAACAGCAATAGTAGTAGATTTAACAATACCATAGACTCATGACTATGAAATCGTGGCTATTTGTGTTAACATGTTGTTCCTGTTGTTGATGTGATACAAAGCTCCTGCAAAACAGCTGGCACAGTCCAGTGCACTGGCTTCCCTCACTGGACTCGGTAAGTATGTTCCTTATTTTTGAGAGGGCTTAAAGGGGGAGTTTCACTCTTGCCTTGCATTTCTAAAAATTGCATTTTGAAACTAGATTTTAATTGTCCAGGAGTATGGATCACTTTTTGATAACTTCATCATTATCAGCAGCTTTGTTCCACAGGAGAGCCTACTGATATAAGTGGGATGGTTTTTGGAGTAAATCAGTGTGAGTTAGTGTATAAGAATCTTGCCCTTATTTTGAAAACACATAAAAACTTTAGATAAATTTACTTTTCCAAGTATGATTGTTTCAGAAGCACACTGCAGTCTTCAGAGAATAGAGTTTTATGTTTTTCTCCTATTTTGATCCATCCAAACAAGAAGGGAAAGTTGATAGAGGAGAAATGTGAAAGTCAATAAATAAAAATACTATGATCTTTGGAATTACTGTGTTATTGAAAAGCTACATAAGCACAGAGGCTCCCATATCCTATATTGCGAGATACAACACAGGAAAAAGAGATTGAAATTCCATCTTGAGATGCAACAGCAAAAGATCTTTTCTAACATGCTTTTTGTCATCTAAAACATACTACAGCAGTGTCAGTGATCAGTTATGTGCTCGTTACGTGGAATTCTGATGAATTGGATTGAATGTTATCATCACAAGTATTCACATGTTTTAAAGCTAACTCAGTGAAGACCATAAGAGTCTCAGACTGAAAGAAAGTAAAAATTTCTCCAGCTCGGATGTTTAAATTGACTTTATCTTTCTAATCGGTCCAGTAGTTCTAGTATTTCTAGGGGAGAAGAAAGTCCATTTCTGTTCCATCTCTGTACCTGTCAAAGTGCAGTGTTTTCTAATTCAATGTAGAAAAAATTGATATGGCATTCAGAATTTCTGTAGCGTTGGACTATGGAGGTGGCTAAAGTCATTTCAGAGATGTCTTCTGGGAAAGGTCCCAGGCGTTTTCTGTCTGGTTGCTGCTACAGAGGCAGGCACTGTTACGATCTCTGCAGGGAGCTTTTTTGGCCTTCCATACAATGGAAAAAGTACCGTGACCGCAGTGGTTGCTTGACGAAAATAGACGAGCTGTTCCAGGAGGAGTAGGACCAGACAGTGAGCATCAATGCAGATATGGGGGCCTTGATCACACCAGTCAAACAACACTGGCACTTACCAGAATAAAGTGACTTCTTCAGAGAAGAGGAAGTGAAGGAAGGGCAATGTTGCTCTCCTCTTTGCCCCACAGAAATATTAAGAACAAAGCTTAACCTTTCCTCGTGATAGACTGGACTTTATGCACGCAGGTGGACTGGGTGGTTATGGATCAGGAGACAGTGAAGATGAGAGGAGTGACAGAGGCTCTGAATCGTCTGATACTGATGATGAGGAATTACGACACAGAATCAGGCAAAAACAGGAAGCCTTTTGGAGAAAAGAGAGAGAACAGCAACTACTACTAGAAAAACAGCTAGAAGGTAAGTCATAGAATATCTTCTTACTATGCAGCTGTATATGGAGCTTACTACTTGGTATAGTGTCGTGGTTTAACCCAGCCAGCAACCAAAAACCACGCAGCCGCTCTCTCGTCCTCCCTCACCCCCAGGGAATGGGGAAGAGAATCAAAGGGGAAAAGGGAAGGAGACTTGTGGGTTAAGAACAAATTAATAAGAATAATACAACAAAATTAAAAATAATAATGATAAAAATGAATAATAATATACGATAGTATATGAAAATGATAATAATATATACAAACAAGTGAAGCACAGTGTAATTGCTCACCACCCACTGACCAATGCCCAACAAGTCCTGGGTAATGATCCTGAAACAAAGAAGTCCTGAAACCGCAATCCTGGAAGAGCGAGAGCACTGAAAAGAGATCCTGAGAGAGAGAGAGAGCCCAGGCTTCCTGGCCAACCCTCATCTATATACTGGGCATGACATGGCATGATATGGAATGTTCCAGTGGCCAATTTGGACCTCAATCTTAAATCTAAACTAGTTGTGGGTCCTTTGTTCCGCTGTGCTCCCTCCCAACTGGTTGTGCACCTGTACCCTGGAAAAATATGAGAAGCTGAAAAGTCTTTGATATCTTAGCAACAACTATAAACATCAGCGCGCTATCACATTCTTCTGATAACAAATCCCATACTAAATCCAAAACACAGCACTGTTCTACCTACTAAAAAGAAAACTACCTCTGTCCCAGCCGAAACCAGGACATATATGTGAATTGGTGGGAGGGAAAATGCATTTTAAGCCAAAAATGAAGCCAAATTGAGGAACAGTGTTCTTTCATTAAAAAGTTTTAACAAAAAGGTGTTTGAGCTACTTGATCAAAATGGGGTTTGCTTCTTTTCTTTCTAATAAGAAAAAAAATCCATATAGTGTTTTCCATAAGCTATTCTACTTCAGTGTTGAAAGAGCAGATGTGACGCGTATATATCTATATGCTATAGGTATTGTACTACTATACCAATAATAGTATTACTTTATAAAAATGCATGTGTGTGTATAATGTATGTTTTAAAAATTATCAGTATTGGTTGTGACTGGGGGATAAATTTCACCTTTCTGTACTAGATTCACCTTTCTGTACTAGACTGCAGTTTATATAAACTTGGTTCCGTAAAGTTGTATACTCTAAATATGCGAAGCACATCTCGCGTCATCTGAAGAACTTGCTTTTCTGTTACATAATCTTGTGCAGTGCGCCTTTCAGGATGTACATTGGGAGGCTGCAGTTCCTTTGAACTCGCTATTCTCAGCTGTAGTTAAGGTTTGCTTCCATGTGCTGCAGCTTCATAACTGGATTTTATACCTAATACCAGGGTAAGATTATTGAACCGAGTCAGTTCACGCTTAGTCCCTGAGAAGGTGGCAGACTTGATTTAAAAAAAATAGAAATAAATCTGTGATTTACTTCTGCTTCTCCGTACAAGGTGAGGTTTGTCCTTTTGTACCATTAATGAGGTCAAAAGGGTATC